AACCCTAAACCTGAACCTTAAATCCTGGGCACCCTGAACACGACACCCGAAGAATCCTCGAACCCTCAAGGCCCCAGCCGCGCGGCTCCCCCAAGAAAACGCCAGCCAAGGGGCATTGAAGTCCCAGTTTCCTATCTGCGCCATGAGGACTCCCGCTGTCTCCTGTCCATCCGAATGGAATAACAGAGTTTAGGGTTTAGGGTTTAGGGTTTAGGGTTTATGAGCCTTCTAAGCTTCGGGATAGTATCATAACCCTAAACCCTAAACCCCAAACCCTGATAGGGTCTAATAATAACCCTAAACCCTAAACCCCAAACCCTCATAGGGTCTTCTGCTTTGGAATCACGATGCGCTTGATCTTAGAGTTGAGGCTATTTAGGGGGTGGGGGGCTTAGGGGCTTCTTGGGGTTTTCAGCACTGGGGGTGTTCATTCTGCGTGGGGGCTCAGGTCTACTCTAAACCCTAAACCCTAAACCCTAAACCCTAAACCCTAAACCCTGAACCCTAAACCCTAAATCCTAAACCCTAAACCCTGAACCCTAAACCCTAAACTATGGCTTTGGAGCTCAGGGTTCAAGCTTTCTTTGGGTTCGCTTCTTTGGGGGCTTCGGTTTTAGGGACCAGGACCGGACATGCCGGGTTCCCTAGACCCTAATAGCCACTTCTACTTCAGGATCCTACACTAGGTTTAGGATTTGTCCTGAGGTTTTAGGGATCAGGATTTGAGTTGCGGGTGAGGGTAAGGCGTCCATTGCTGAGTTGCTCACCCGCGCCTCAGGAACCAGGGACGGCGCACCCTCGGTGCTTGAATAATCCAGCGCAGCCTTCATTGCACCTTCGCTTTCAGGGGACTACTTTAGGATCTTAGACTTCGAAAGGACTTGGGGATTCGGGATTGGGATTGCGGTCTTGGGGAACACCATACATATGATATGGGCAAAGCCGCAGCTCCTAAATTTTTCAACAAGTAGGACCACGTCCCAAGACCCCAAAACGTCAAACCCCGGAACCTCAAGCCTAGATAGAGCCCTTAACCACTCAAACCCCCAAATCCAACCCGGCTATACCAAAAGCTCTCCTCTACTGAACTACCATGGAAACGTCAATGATAACGATAGACTCCTAAGCCCAAAACGCCTAGACAAAGCGTTACATCCCTGACGCTCGACACTCAAAGCAATCCCTGAAAACCCTGAACCCTTAAGCTTCAACCCCCGAAACACTGAACCCCTGTACCCGCAAGATCGCCTAATTAGATTCCAAAGCCCATTGAGACTCCAAAAGCCCTTTAGGTAGCTGTTGAGTTAATGACTCTTCATTCCAACCATAGTAGGGGTCCTGAGCTGCACAGTTCTGTCGTTGAAACAATAGGTTCCTAAAAGTTCCTGTGTGAAGAACTATTCCTGAGGTTATAGTGGGAAGGCTCGACATGTGGCAACTGTTACCTGTAGGTAAAGGTTGTTGCATGAATGATAAGAACAGCTTGTGTCGGTTATCATGGGCTGGACTGCTAGGCAATCGGCGGTGCAGCGTGCGATGCACCGGAACCCAAGAACAATCATGTAATCACACCCCGCACAAACCCGATATAGGTTTCAGAAGGCTGCAATCCTCAACATGAATACTGTCCCGAATGCCCAGTTAGTGCACATGTCGGTAACACCTCCCACAACACACAACCACAACACGAAATATCACTCTGTGCCAAGGGAGGCGCTTACCGTGGCCGGAAAGCTGAGGTCCTCGTCCTCCATGCAAAGAGGCAACATGTGCTTTAAATACATTTGGCAACGAGGATGCGACCATGCTTCCAGAGGGAAACTACATGAGTCTCGAGTTTCCTGCTTTACTTGGAGGCACCTGGACTTCCGCTATCTTCTCCCAAGAGTTGCAAGAAAATCCCGCAAAAAAAGCCTCCTCAATTGGCCTCGGAGCTCCTAAACTTTAGCGGCCCCAGCCCCAAACCCACGGTTTAGAGTTTCGGGTGTTTAGGGCTTGAAAACACGACTTAGAAGCCTGAACCCCAAACACCAAACACTGCGGCTAGATCCGATCCCGAAGCCACTGCGCCCGATGAAACACCCATCCGACCCAGCAAACAGAAGCCTCCTCTCAAACACTGTGCACACGACCTCACAACCTTGAGTTTGAGCCCCAAACCCCAAACTACCCAAACTACCCTAAACCTGATGCCCAAACCCTAAACCGAAACCCCCATGCTCCCAACCCTAAACCCTAAACCTCCCAAACCCTAAACATCCCGAACCCTAAACCCCTAAACCCTAAACCCTACAATCTCTGCCTTGCCTCTGCTGCCGCGCCCCCGTTTTTGGGATTTGCCGCAGCTTGGCTGGCCTCGGCCTTTGCGGGCTTCAGACTTTGGGGCCTTTAGGGTTCAGGGCTTTTTTAAGGCATTTAGGGTTTAGGGCTGTTAGGGCTTTTAAGGTTTGGGGCTTAGGGCCTTTGGGGTTCAGGGCTTTTTTCAGGCTTTTAGGGTGTAGGACTTTTAGGGCTTTTAGGGCTTAGGGCTTTTAGGGTTTAGGGCTTAGGGCTTTTAGGGTTTAGGGCTTAGGGCTTTTAGGGCTTAGCCCCTTCAGCCATGGTAGTTAGTACTCCAAAGCCCGAAGGCTGGCACACTTCCTACTGGCAACCTGAACCCTTCAGGATCCGGAGCCCCTGTATCACTGGACTCGAAAACCGGACATCGGTGACTCTGTAAACCTTCCTTCCGCTGAACCTCCAGAGCCCGAAACCCAGAAAGCCCTACAGCGTCTGAAAAGCTACCAGCACCCTTTCGACACCTGAGGATGCAGTGCGCGGCGTGATGCAGAGGGCTTTCGGTCGCCTCCTATACCCTGAAACATTGATAATCGAGCTGATTCGCTAAACTTTAATCCCGCCATGAATTTTATGTTTTAAAAAAGCATCCCCACTGAACCCGGAATCCCTGACCAGTAGCCCAAACTGCTAGCTCCAAAGCCCGGAAAAATACAAAAAAAAATCCTAGCTAAACCCGCAACGTTGATCCGTGACAAACTACGCCCCAAGACCATCACATAAACCAGCATCCCCCAATCCCTAGCTCCTCTGACCAGTCTTAGATTACGTGCCTACCCACGACGGTATGTCACTCTTAGAAGAAGGATCCAACATGGAACCCTCAAACCTGACCCCTTCCCCCCAGCCCCTGCACCCCCACCCACCAAGCAAAAAGAAAGAAAAAGGCGAGGGGCTATGTTCGTCAGCGAGTGCTCTGGAATCGGCTCCACAGAGACGACGGAGCCGTTGGACTCACAGGGCGTTCCGGGGCCGTGAGAGTTTACAGTGGTGGTTGAAACTTCATTGCAGAGGTCCGTCGAACGAAAGCGTTCTTAGCGAATTGAAAGGTCTTCATGTTGGCTTTGTTCAGAGGGGGACAGGTTTCAGTTAGAGTTAACTGAGCCTTCAAGAGCTTCAGGGGTGGAATTTATGATTCTTTCTTTGAGGAGTTGAGTGGAGGCGTTGAAGCTATAGTAAAAGCGCCTCACCTAGGGGTCCCGGGCTTTCCGCTGAAAGCCTAGAACAGAACCCTCGGCGCCTCAAGGGAACTGGGCAGAAAAAAGGGGGCCAACAAGAACCTGCAGATGATGGGGCTTTAGAACTTCAAGGGTCTTCGTACTTAGGACAGGGTTTCTGTCAGGGATCTTTGCAGAGGTCTGCCAAGGGCATCGTGGGGTTGTATTATAATAGGGGAACTGTTTGGGGGATATCATTACCGACTCTTCAGGCCTCTAAAGCACTGTCTTCCTTTAGACTCTAGAGACTCATAGTTCCATATAACTGCTTATTTGATTATTTATTTATTGTTTTAGTTGATAAAAGGGGTCTGAACGTAGACTTCGCGAATGCCCTCTGCAGCCATGCGGGAGGGGCCATGGAAAGAGGATACGGAATCCTGAGCTCTGCATCGTACGCCCGATACCCTTCAGTAGAAGCCATAAAGTTGGAACATTGTCATCCTTATGCCCTTAAGGTGGAGTATAAGGGATCCTAGCACTAATCACTAATCCTCCTAAACCCATGTTCCAACTTTCTGGGTTTCACTATAGACCCTTCCCTCGCCATGGGAGCCTGGAACTTGTCCCGGAGATACTTCCGCGCGGCTTTCTTCACGTCCACGTGGGAAGGCGAGGGAGGTATCTGCACGGGAAATAAGCTGGGGCTTTGGGCTTGGTAAACATGAGGGAACCCTGCCACAAACCTTCAGACGTCTGGGGTGCTGGCAACGATGGAAAATTTCAACCCAAACCCTGTGCTCAAGAGCCTTCCTGGCACGCATGAGCATTATATGACTGCTACTTGTGTGTTTGGTGTTTATGGCTGAGGTGTGGTTCTAAGAGAATCCCAGAAACCCTTCGAAAACTCCAACCCCAGACTCCCAAAGCCTCCAAGCCCCGAAACCCCCAAACCCCAAAAAACAAAGAGCTCATAGAACCCTTGTGGAACCTTTTAAAGGAGCCCTAAACCTTCCAACCCAAAGTTCTCAAAGTTCCCAAAGGTCCGAAGAGTAGCCTCCGGGTTGGCCACCGAGCTCTCCACGGAGATGGACCGGGAGAAATTCTGAGTCAACCAGTCCTGCAGTCGCAAAAAGCGTGAGTACTTAGAGTATATATGTTTGGGCCTATATGTAAGTATGTTATAGTATACTATAACATCTTTTGTTATATTTTATATGTTTTGGAATATTACTACGGTCCGGTTGCAACCGACATATGCATGACCAGCTATGCACAGAACTGCGACTGGAGGACAAGTCGCACCGCGGAATTCAGACTTTTGGGTGTCCAGGACATGGATATGCATGAGGCATTTTCGCTTGAGGTGCAGCTGGAACCCTGCATGCATAACCCAAACGTGACTTTCGAAGCTTAGCATCAAGCAAACTGAAATGTTTCTGTCTGCTGCAAACAGAAGGGGAATGTGGGGTTTTCAGCGGTAGGGTCTAGGCGGAAAAGGTCCTTGACCGACGGTCACTCAAAAACCGAATGACAAGGGCAGTAATGGGTCTTATGAAAAGGACTTCTAATCATTGAATAGGGGACCCGGATGGGGACTAATGTAGGGGCCTTAATAATTAGAATAGGGTCCTTATTATGATTATAGTATAATATACCCCCAAACCCTGTTCTAATTATTAAGGCCCCTATATTGGGTTCAAAGTTGGTGTCAGAATTCGGGCGCTTTGCAGGATTGAAAGTGTGTTGGGTCTCTACATCAAGCTGCCACGGAGCTTTAAAACCAAGCCCTAAACCCTAAACCCAGACCAGGCCCTAGATAAGATGGTGGTTTACAATCTGAAGGCTTCTCCAGCCATCCGACGCTGGGTGCTCCGGAGATTCAGGGCTTTCCAAATTCGGCTTTACCTCGTTAGCGAAGCCCTGGGCTTCCTTCAGGGCTAAAACCCCTCGAAAACTTTTACAATCCTCTAGGAATCTCACATATTACAAAAAGATCTGAGGCCCCGCCATCTTCCCGAATTTGAACCCTAAACCCTAAACCCTAAACCCCAAGCCCTAAACCCTAATGTGGGCTCTGGCCTGGACCACCGCCGGGCTATTGGAGACATCCACGTTGATCTTAGCATCCTGGGTGGCCTGGGCTTCGGAAGCATTCTGCCCCAAACCCTAAACCCCAAACCCTAAACCCCAAACCCCAAACCCTGAACCCTAAACCCTAAACCCTAAACCTTAAACCCTAAATAACCCTAAATCCTAAACCCTAAACCCTAAACCCTTCTTGTGGGGCTTTGAAGGGCCTGAAACGGGGTTTATGGGATGTTCCAGGGTGCTCGTGGGTTCCATGGGTATGTATCGGGCTCGGTATGGCTTTGACGGGCTTTGTAGGGTTTTGCTGCAGCTTCAGGGTGTTATGATTATTATAGTACCAAAAACCCCAAAACCCTTTTCTAATCAAGGGCATCTATGGATCTGACGGTCGTTTACGGTCTTGTGGGTTTAAGGTTTAGGGCTCTCTCTGTGCTTCGAGGCTTTCTGGGCTTGTGCTTGAGGATTTTGAAAAGCTTTACCACAAAAGGGAATTAGAAGGGTTTCCCATAAAGTTTTTGGAGGCTCTCTCAAGCTGAAAAAGGGTTGGTTTACGGCGTGTGGTCCTATAGTGTTTCGCAGTACACGACTTTACTAATTCAAAGCTTTAGTGTTTGGGATTGGGCTTTGGAAAAGGGTAGGGTGTAGGGTGTAGGATGCGTCTTTCGATTCCATTCGGCATAAGTGTTCTTTCAGGGGGAACCCTCCAAAAACCGGTGAACCCTCGAAAAAACCTAATTCCTAAACCCTGATTAGGTCTCCGGTTTAGAGGGTCTGTAGTTGCTTCGTAGAAGGGTGTCGCGGGACCTTTGGTTAGAAGGCTCTAGTATTTAAGTAGGATAGTGTTGGCGGGGGTGCTAATATAGGGGCCTTAATAATTACAATAGGGTGCCGAGGTATGTTATACTATATCTAAAACAACGAACCCCCAAAATAGAGCCCCTATACAATAACGAACCCCCAAAATAGAGCCCCTGTAGAATAGCGAACCCCCAGAATAGTGCGCCCATATCATGTAAGCTCAAGGTCGATGCTGGAAAAGAGTCTCGGCGGGGCCTATATAGGGGTTGTTGGGAGAGCGCTGGAGGCAGCGGGAAGAGGCCCTTGACAACAAACCGGGAGCGTAGGGTATCAACGCCACAATTCCCTTCATACCCCCCCAAACGACTCAAAGTACCAAATGCTAAGACCCTAAACCCTAAACCCTAAACCCTAAACCCTAAGAAGACCCTACATTTAAAACTTGGCTTAGAAAGGATTTTCTGCGGCTTCTCCCAAGGGCGGGCTCAATAATCACATGGAGGCACCACGACAACATAGAGGTCTTAAGAAATGGAATAGAGCTTTTGGATAGTTTATGCGAGAAATGTGTAAAGAGGGGATACGGATACGATTCATACTCATTCAAACCGCCCCCATACTCTTCCTGTAAGCCTGTCGGGACTGGAGGAAGACGATTTTTCGCGGCAGTGTCCATTGCTTTCGATTTGTGTCAGAAGGTTCTGTTTAGTGTGCAAGGTGCAGGCTCTAGACTGTAGAGTTTAGGGTGCGCGAGGGTGCGGGATTACGTAGCTGGCGAACGTGGTCCACATGCATAGGTTTCCGTCAACAACCTTTCCTGTTTGCTGCAGCTGCAGCACTGACAACCTATGCTTGGCAAGGGCTTATGCCTAAAATCGTGTTTCAATCGCTTTGGGGTATGGGGGGTTCGGAGCTCAGGGTTTCGGATCTTTGGGGGCTTGAGTTTGTGACGCAGGGTTCAGGGCTTATGCCCTAGTCTTTGGGGTCAGAAGTTCAGCCGTGCTGTTCAAGGAGCTACACTCCGCTCGATGCAGACCCGAATGATGGAGACGACTTGCGAAAGTGAGCTCCTCAGCACAGGGACGGTTCGGGTGTCAGGCTCCGGGCAAAGCTGAGTGAAGCACCACACGTTATGCTGCTGCGGCTATCGCTAGTTATCCCTGAATGCTAGCTTAATGCTACTGCGCCTACGACCGAGGACCTACTACATACCTACGACGTACGCCTCCTACTACCACTGTCAAATTCCTCGCAGACTTTGAAGGTCTCTTATCCAAACTCCAGGCCCTCTGTCTCGAGCGCTAAACATCCGGGTCAGGGTTTAGATTGTCGTCGCGTATTCCGGCAAGACTTCCTCTCTCCAGTGCCAGGACTACTCCTGACTTCCAAAACCCTCATAAGCGCCGTGCGAAAGCCCTTTTGCAAAAAAGGTCGAAGCCACATAAGCGCCCGCAGAGTATTTCCGCCGAGGCACCGCATGTCTCGCGACAAGTTGTAGGTCTTCTCTGCCTGCGCATCGACAAAGACCGATTCTCGAAACAACAGACCCCTAGGCCAAGCCCCTTGGTAAAAACGATTGCATGTCAATGCAAAAGACCTCCAAAGATCCAAACCCCACACCCCAAAGTCCTGAACCCCAAACCCCCACCCTAAAAAAAAAAAAGCCGAGAACCCGAACACCTGAGAAAAACGACCGGTAAAGCTCGGAACCCGGGAGTCGACCTCCCTGTGGCCGAGGCCCTAAGGCTCCCATCTCCGTCGAAAATAAAGAAGGGCGTCAGGGTTCCTAAGGTTCCCCCGGGTGGTCCCCTGGCTCAGGGTCTTGGAGTCTGGAGTTCTAGGGTTTAGGGTTTAGGATTTAGGATTTAGGATTTAGGGTTTAGGGTTCAGGGTTTAGGGTTTAGGGTTTAGGGTTTAGGGTGCAGTAGGCTTCTAGAGATGTCGCAAAAGGACTATTGCAGACGTGTTCGGGTATAGGGTTGCTCAGGAGGGGCTCTTTGTATAAGGGCCGTATAAGTTTCACAGGGTGCCTCAGGCTTCGATAAACCTGGAACGTGCATCGATCGTGTCATGCCAAATATGTAAGCAAAGCTTATTGAAGTGGGCATGATCCAGTAGTTGACGGTGCGCCACAACGAATGGTTGGATAAGACGAAGTTGGAGAGGGTCAAAGAGGTGCCTCCTGTGGCATAGCCTAGAGCAATTTCGGCAGATTTAGCCGATCGACCACGCCGCGAAGCTTGTAAAACACTGCTGCGTAGTCCATATTCAAGCCTTTTGTCGCGTGAACTAAGTTCCAGACTGCATCTGTATTTGGACGCCCCGGCGGCAATCAACATAGTCTTCTTCACGCTTTGCAACGGTCAAAGATGTGGTCGCCATCTCATTGGCAATAGAACGAGACCGGTTGGCGAAGGACCTATCTCCACTGGCTTTTCTGTAGAGTTTTTACGAGCTGCAAAGGATCTTATCGGTTGTATGAGCGCTGCACAAGGGTGCTATTACGAGTCCTACAAGCATCTTCTAGGTTTTACGAGGATCTTAGAAGAGTGCTGTGCTATGCTGCGTTGCGTGCTCACGTTGCAGAGCCCTTCGTATATAGGTTCTTAGGGGTTCAGGGCTCGGGTTCTTCATAGGAGTCTCTGCATAACGAGCTTTTAGATATGGGCTCCGACTGCGGAACTTAAACTAAGCACATATCCGGATACCCGATGATAATGGTTCCTGTCTAAGGAAGGAAGTGTACTGCCAACTGCCAACTTCAGGGAAAGTTCTCAAATCTAGAAGACTGTACAGCCCCCTGTAGAGCCGCAATTCCCTTCAACATTGAGATGCCCTTGAGGACTTTCCCTGCATCGATTTTGAACCCGAAAAACCACTCTTTACAGACCCCTCCCCTTGATTGGACCCCTTTGAGCCCAACAACAACAACCCAATTAGACACTGCTTCCCCTGGTCTCTGAGAGTTCCGCCTTGTAGCCCACGTCATTCAGCTGCCGTATGAGTCTCTGACGCAGGAGTGCCGCGCTGACTAGTGGCTGCTGGTTCGAATCCTGGGCAACTTATGAAGGATTGGGGGGCTTAGTCAGTACGGTGTTAAGATGTCTTAAGAAAAGTTAATTACTAATATTTGTAACTCCGCATGAAGTAAAGCAGCTTGCTACATGCCCTACAGCTACTCCCCACACCCTACAGAGCCACAGCTTTCATTCCTTGTGATGCCTTTGCATATCTGTCATACCGCACAAATCTCTATCATTCCCCAAATATTTGACACATTTGTGCATTCAATTATTCACTAGTTCAGTTGCACAACCATGTCCTGTATGCACTCATTCATTCTTCGGCCAATTGAGCTGCTCAACGTCTATGCATGACCTCACACGTCCTCGCTCTTTCCTCGAAGGCTAACTAGAACTGCTACTGCTAGCACACCTTCTCACATCTCTGCCTCTCTACTGCTCTTCAGGTCTGTTGCTTACGGCTGAAACATATTACGACTCCTGCTCCTCCCGCGACCCTCTTTCTCTTCCTACTGCTCCTGCACAAGACCCCAAGCCAAGCCCTAAGTAAGCCCTAAACCCCAAAATCTAAACCGTAGTAGTGTTAGGATTGGAGACCCACCAGTCTCGCAGGCACAGGGCTGGAAGACAAGATTTCCACCCTCTCCTCGTGGCAACTACGAGCCAAAAACCCTCTGCGCTATGTCCAAATCCCAATCAACGCGTGTGAAACCCTACAGACACGCATAAAAACCGATGAAACCAAACTCAAGCTGATAGTTTCTAAGCTCAACTATTGCAGCCCCGCCGCAGAAGCATCACCTCAGAGAAATAGGGAATGAGGATTGTAGATTTGAGGGGTGTTGCCTTTCAGGGCTTTGGGATTTAGGATCACAATATAGGGGTTTCATTAAGAGATGTAAGGCTTCTGGGTTCAGGGTTTCGGCTTTTTGGCCAATGGTTCTGGGGTTGAGATTCATGAAGTTCCAGGGTTCCCGGCTCAGGGGTCTTGCTTTGAGGCTTGGGCGCGAAAACCCGGCTGCGCCACACGGAGAAGCAGAAGAGGGATCGATAGTAGGAGTTTGAGAAACTGAAACAGGAAAAATGTTCGAGCCCTCAAACCCTAAAACCTCAGCGACGGGCAGCAGTCACATCGTTGGCTCTACGGGGATTTCTGGTTCAGGGTCCAGAATCGGAGGTTAGGGTTTCAGGGCATTGCGGGTTTAGGAGTCTACAGGCTATAGGGCTTAAAATAGGGTAGCTGGAATGGTAAATGCCTGTAACAGCAATTAACGCTCTTGAAACAGTCGCACGAACCCAAGCTGGAGGGTATAAAACCCCGAAGCTCTAAAGCCTAAACCCTCATAAAAGCCCTTAGAGGACCGTTAAAAAAAAAAAAACTTCCTCCATGATTACAAGCCTGTTTTAAGACTGCCTTGACCCTTAGAACCTACCTTCTGATATTTTGAGCCATAGGCGATGCCCGAAACCTTAATGCCGAGGGCTTAGGGCTTGGGGTGTTAAGCACCAAGAACCCTAAACGCAGAACTCCGCAATTCAAACCCCCTAAACCCTAAACCCTAAACCCTAAACCCTAAACCCTAAACCGTAAACCGAAAAAGCTATGGTCGGTCGAGGTAGGGCCGAGGGTTCAGGCCGGAAACTCCGATGCCGAGCCGGGTCTTCGCAGTTTCCATTAGTTGTGACTCTATCAAAGATCCTCCACGCGGTCGTAGCAACCATAGCAGGAGTAGTACAGTAGCAGTAGTAGTAGTAGTAGTAGTAGTAGTAGTAGTAGTGGTGGTAGCAGAAGTAGTAGAGGTAGTAGTAGAGGTAGTAGTAGTAGTAGTAGTAGTAGTAGTAGTAGAGGTAGTAGTAGTAGTTGTTGTTGTTGTAGTAGTAGTAGAAGTAGTAGTACTAGTAGTAGTAGTAGTAGTAGTAGTAGTAGTAG